GGTAATCTAATTACCGTTTTTGCAATAGTAATCCCTTACTTTACTCGTTACTTGAAAAAAGTAATTACTTACTGTAATCCGATTACTTTTTTCAGTTTTTTACTTTTTTCAGTAACGCGTTACTACCCATCTCTCGACATGACATTTTGACTTTTTAACTGTTTTAAAAGTTTTGACTGATTTTAAGCTGTGTGCCTTTTTAAAAATAGTTGCGATAAAACCAATAGCAGAAATCATTAAAATGTGCAGGGGTTGTGTTTGCAGTTACGTCCGCTGGGTGGGAGTTCAACACAGCAACTCCACCTCAAGTCACTAGTGGACAGACTCTGGCTCCAAAAATGCAACACGGTTGGCCCCATAAACTGGACCTAGCACACCTAGCATGACAACTGGAATTTATTAATCACATTTACATATACTACAGTTCCTCACACTGTTCAAACTATAATACTTTGTTGGATGATCATTTTCACATAATCCAACAGCCTTCCTGCCTGTGGTTCAGGGCAGAAGCTTATCTTTGTATCAGCATTAGCTAAATTCTCCCAGCAGCCGAGAACTGTTCACATCCCAGCTTAAGCCATGAGACGGGATCGTTTTGTGATACTTTATAATAACATAACAATAACAAAATGTGTCAAAGACTTGGTGTCAAAGTATTGTTTTCTGCGATAACCTAAAAATCATGAAATTGGGAAATATCAATTGGTACGCACTGGTTTTAGAAATAATCACCCCTTTTCTCCCCACTGACCCACACACACTGTTGTGCATTGCAGCTTTGTCGTACCACAGCTTGCTCAGCGATGGAATAGAATCTTTGGGTAAGGATTAAGATCTGCAAAAAAAGAGACAAAAAGACTTGAAAAAAGATACAACGCCGTGTCATTGAGGGTCATTTTTACTTTCTGGGAGTTGAGGTTCTGGGAACTGTCTGGTTTTGGTGCTACGATCCTGCAGACAGGTTTTAGCAGCTCTGTTTTGGCTAGTTTATGTTACTGGATGTGGTCCTCTCACTGCATGATCTGATTGGTATGACTGGATATTTAAGATGGCAGCATTTGAAAGATGTGACAAGTTCTTCTGAAAAACCCTGCAAGCGAATGACTGCAAATGTCGTTAAATAACAGACAACTTTTGAACTGTTGCTTCTGGTGAATAGGACAGTTCTGAGCTCAGGGCATGGCACTTCTTAACTAAGCTCGGTGGCTCACTTTGTTACCTGCTGTTAGTCACATTTTCAATATGATTTCTGCTGTGTTTGAAAATATGCCTCGTCTATTCAGTCAGCAGCCAGTCCGATGGAGATAAGAAGAAGAGGCAACAGAAAGGAAAGGGAACGAGCGTCAGTCCCCACACCAAATTAGCTACACTCAAGGTAATGTTTTTCAGAGATGATACAATTCTTGTGCAGGTTTACTGGGCCCTGTTATGCTTTTACTATCCAACCAAAGAATAAAAGGGGTACCATATGCTAGAAAGAAACGCTTGAGTGACTCTGATCTTGGCTCTGCAGCTGTACAACAAGGAGTTGGAGTCAGAGTTTGGGTCCTTTGATGACTGGGTGAAAACATATGAGTTGTTCCGAGGGAAAGCCAATGAGGAAGAGGGATCCAATGAGGAGAGGTTTGTTGGAAAGTTTAAGGTGAGATACTAAGTAATGTTCTTTGTGGGTACTACTTTGGTACTGCTCAACAACTAGCATATCTACACATGAATCTTCATGCTGTCTCTCAGGGTCGATTCTGCCTCTATAAGCTCGCTGAGGAGGAGAAGGAGGAGGACTGGCATGAAGCAATAGACGCTGGGAGCTTCAGAGTCAACAGAGGAATCCCTCCCAACAGCCCAGTCCAAGTTCTCATACGGGTTTACATTGTCTGCGTGAGTCCGGCTCACGTGGGAATTTTCTGCTGAGTTCTCTTTGGAATGTTTTACTTGAAAGTTGTAGAATAGTTTTCCACTGAGAAACAAAAAGAGCAGCATTTAGTGAGGCTGACATGATACAGTAGTTGGTACATTGCCTAACGTTTGAGGTTTAAACTGGTCTAGGTCCTTCCTGTGAGGACCTGATTGAAAGCACTTCCTGAATGTGTAGTTACACGTCTGCCTCTCAAAGTGCGTCTGCAGATTTAATTATGTCAAAAGTTGCATGCAAGAAAAAACATAATGACAAGCAGATTATTATTAGTATTGGTCAAGTTACTTAGAAATAGTAATTACTTACTAATTACTGATTACTTCTCCAAAATAACTCATTTTCAAAAGTAATTAGTTACTTTTAAAAAACATGATACACAACCCGAATACGTAATAAAGCAGCAGACCTTTCAGCCCAATTCTATTTTTCTGCATAATCCATCGTTTAAGATGTAATCCAATGAAAAAGTCTCCTTTTAAAAATTGTTTCATGAGTTTTAATCTTTTACCTTTATGCACATTACATCAAGCAAAGTTTAATTATATGCAACAGTCTTTGACTTGAAGAAATTCTCTAACATTTAAACCTATTTTCTGCATATTCCATAAAATAATTTTTGGTGTTTACACTTTTTCAAATAGATGCAAGTAAAACACAGCAAAAATAAATCAAATAAAACATTCAGCAGCTCTTAAATCTGTTGTCACCTGTTTAGCAGGAGTGGGGCGGGTGGAGGTTTGCCCACAGCGGTCATGTCAATGGGGGGATCCGTGGGTTTCTTTGTGAATGTCACGTCCCATGGCAGCGTGCTCGCTGCTCGCTCAGATTTGAAGTTTAATTTTTCTCTGTAGAAGGAAGTTTTCTGAACATTACCTGAGAAAAGTAATCAGACTGCCACACAATCAAATTCCCCTGAGGTAAATTTTACTTCCTGGAGAACTCAGTAGCCTGAGTTTTCCAGGAAGCCATCACACATGAGAGTGCCTGCTGTGCGAGCGATGCCAGAGATTCAGGCTCTCACATCAGCTCTGTTCTCAAAGCTTCATTTTTCAAACAAATGCAGTTTAAAACAGCGCCTATGTTACTCACTGAACCTGTCCATCACAGAGCCTGTGGCGTCACTGTTTTGAAAGTGACCAATCACATCAGGACCTCTATTCCTTTAGCTGCACCACTCTGTGATGGAAACTGGTATTACACAAAAGTATCCATCCATCCATTCGCTTCCGCTTATCCTTT